CAACTTCAATAATCGCGCTAAACAAACGCTATAACAACGAACGTGTTCAATAATATTTCTGACTGCAGATCAATTGCTCACTATCTATACACACATTACCCTCCCGCGTCACGTTGTCCCCTCTTATATATACCCGCCTACCCTATATCTAGTAAGAACTAGAACATTCGCCAAAGTACAGGATAATTCTAGAAAGTAGAGAGCGTGAGAATCACATGATCTCGATGACGCAACAATACCATGCCTCACATGAAAGGAAGCATGTTATATAGTAGAATATTTGGATTATTGTTGATACCATGCCTGACATGAAAGGAAGCATGTTATATAGTAGAATATTTGGATTATTGTTGATACCATGCCTGACATGAAAGGAAGCATGTCATATAGCAGAATATTTGGATTATTGTTGATACCATGCCTGACATGAAAGGAAGCATGTCATATAGCAGAATATTTGGATTATTGTTGATACCATACCTGACATGAAAGGAAGCATGTTATATAGTAGAATATTTGGATTATTGTTGATACCATTAACTGTTGCTTTATTGAAAACACAACTGACCATACCAGTAAAGTAGGCAAACATACCACTTCATAAATTTTCTAAGGATAGTGACATTTTTTTGCATTACAAACACAACAAACTCTGGCTATCTGGCATCCCTGGCAAATGACAGAGGGGCCAGTGCCCTCAATGGTTGGTGGGCCAGTCCTCCTGAAACAAAAGTAAATATAATCAAATACAATATACTTTTGTATGAGTTTTCTATTGTATCTATGTAGATTCATCAAATATCAAAGACATAAAAAAACTTGTGTAAAATAAAATAACTAAATACAGAGCATTCTGAGTGATCTTCACTCTCAGGAACTGTAAATAAAAAGTCTACAGCACATACTCATGCTAACAGTGACTGCTTCCTAATGTTTGATTAATTATGGTGCAGTAGGTTGAGTCAAGTTACCACATAAATCTTTCAAGCAAAACAAGGCACGAAAACTTAAGTAATTAGTTCAGTATCACAAATTCGGATGATAATTAGTGTGTTCGACTGTACTTTTTACATTATTGGTTCCACTTTTTTTTTAATTGTCACCCATGCTGGCACCTGACTGGATTTCAACTTTACTGTTATCTTGAGAGTGATCACAAACTCTTGCAAAACTATCTACTTCATTAATACTATCATGCATTCTCCTATGCTGTACCATCAGTATATTTTTGTCACCTTCAGTACTTCATCTTCTTTAATAGGAAGAGCACTTGGGTCAGTTTCATTTTCAGCCCAACCTATTCTAGCCCAAGTACACATGAAATCCCTTTGGTGGCAGTTATGATATAGCTTGTGTGAACAACATACTACTTTGACCATGCCAGTTTTTACACCCAAGAACATTTCACTTATTTCTGAATACCCTGTGACCACCAATCTCACCACAACCAAAACCACTAATTTTTTCAATATTACTGTTATCTTGAGAGTGATCACAAACTCTTGTAAAACTATCTGTTTCATTAATACTATCATGCATTCTCCTTTGCTGTACCATCGGTATATTTTTGTCACCTTCAGTACTTCATCTCCTTAATTGCAATGATTTTAGATAATTTTCAGCTTATCTAAACCTTTCAGGATCACTCATTTTTGTAATACCTTCTTTAAAGTTACATTATCAGTGTACTTAGACAATTCCTGTGTAATTTCTTATACTATTAATTAAAGAAGAACATTTTTTAGAAATACATGTTGCACTCATATTTCATGCTCTAGAATTTGTGTATCCAATGTTAAATGACTTACTGTTTGAAAATTTAATTTTCCAAACAAAGTAGTTTTCCCCACTTCTTACTTTTTGTGAATTTTATTTTTTTGTAACCAGTATCTTTTACTTCTGTGCTAGATATTTCAGCACATTCTTTATGACAAACCCTATAGAATTATTTTTATTAATCTAGAAATTAACTGGCGTATTATTTAAGATTGATTGTGACCAAACTCTTAAGTGAAAATTACTCAATTTGAAATTTCTCCCAGAGCTATGTTAGGTATATAATGGCTGGAGAAGGCTTAAATGGGTAATGAAGAAAAACTTTAATATAAGTTTAACATGACAGCAAATGTACAACGTTTCGACAAGGTTTTGTCATCATCGTACCTGATGATGACAAAACCTTGTTGAAACGTTGTACATTTGCTGTCATGTTAAACTTATATTAAAGTTTTTCTTCATTACCCATTCAAGCCGTCTCCAGCCATTATTAGTCTCAAAGGGGGTTCCTCGTCATCGAATATGTTAGGTATATGTTTTTATAAATTATCATGTTCTAAGTTTTGTTATAAT